ACTGACTCCCCATCCCACCCCTCCAAAAAAAACTTTCCTGGAAGAGTTTGAGTAGTGCTCCTGTGCTTCAAATATACTGCTCCTCCTTTCAGAGCAGAAAGCTTAGCCGGATAGAAAAATCAGGTGGCACGGTTAACTGTCCATCTTGATTCAACTGCTGTTTGTTTGCCCACCATTGTAGAGGGATTATGCAAGACCTCTTATTTGGAATATGCCTTGCACCAGGTTGGGTCTTAACTTTAAATCTGGCTTGATGTCTCTACAATTTTCCTATAATACACTTGTTAGCTTAGTCAGAATATAGTGTATTTACCAAAGTATGTACCAGACAGCAGGAGTTAATGCCACTTAAGTTTAAATTGTGAGTCACTGTGAATTTAACAAGTACAATTTTCTGTTAGAGAACTAAAAAAAAAAACCACAAAAAAACCCTACTATAGGCACTAGCAACAATGGATATTCTTTGTACTGCATTTTGAAGTAGAGTAAATCCACTTCCAAATGCCTAGGTAGAAAGGAGAGGACTTGTACAGGTATAAGGAGGTTACTTTATAAAGTAAAGGGAAATACTTTAAAAAAAATGACATTTTAAATCTTCCAGCAGCAAATACCTCTGTCTTCACAAAAGCCATCGTGCAATGCTGTTCCTGAAGTGCAGACCTCCTTTTCTTTTACTAGTAGCTTACACAATCAAAGATCATCAGAAATCCAGCCTTCTCATAAAGTGCTACAATGGCCTCAGCTTTTGCAAGATAGTCCACTTAATCTACCAGACCAAAGTATGCTGTTACCTTCAGGTAAAATCTTTACACCAGAAAATGAAATAGCTGCTCTTGATATGAGGCTATCGTACCATAGGAAGAAAATTATTTCTTAGAAAATTCCTGGTTTGGTTTTTGGAGTTTGCTGGAAGAGGGGATGGGAGAAATGTTTAAGTTAAAAGCCTGCACTAGCTTCCCTGTGTAGTGTTGTTGTGCACCCTTTCTTCTGGGTCATCATGGCAGTCGAGAGACAGCAGAATGCTGGTTGAAGTGTTGGCGGACTGCATTCCAGCAGACACTGCAGTTTTTAATAAGTGTCGTTTTACTATTCACAAGCAGCAAAACATAAGAATCATTTGACTATAACAAGAGACTCAAGATTGAAACACAAGGGTGTAATGCTGCATTGGTAAAACTAAATTTAAAGGAAGGAAGATTGAGTCTCTCACCTTAAAGCTATATTGCAAATATTTAATCATATTCCTAACAAAGTCTAAAAGTTCATCATCCTTCTCAGCTGTGGTGTAAAATTGAATGAGCTGCCACTGATTATCCAGATGGGAAGCTAACTAAAAAGATAACTGTCCCCAAAACTAGTTGTAATGTACACTTGGCTATTCTCAGTCTTAAAATATTGTTGAGCTAAATTTGAGAAAAGCATACATGTTTGCTAACTGTATTAGGAGTTACACATTTTAATTTACTCTTTTTTTCTTCGCTCAGGTGTAATTACAGTCATCTCTCCACTGCATTCCACACCATTACAGCAAAGACCACAAAATATTCCAAAGACATGCCAGCCTTCTGGCAGCCAGCCTACTTGTGTTGCCACAGAGGTAAATAGTCCTTATTCTAATTTATCTACAAATAGATTTCTCAAGTATCTTCATCTAATTAACCTTTTGTCCCTTAGAATAAGTAGCTTTAGTATCATAACAAATTAGGCTTCTATTCATTACAATACTGGAGCAATATAGTCTGTGTTCCTGAAAATGGTATTTGAGCATGATTAGCACTTCAGAAGTTCTGTATTAATCTGATCCCCACTAATCAAATAGTGACTTAATTTCCTTTAATGGCAGTTGAATTGTGCTTTTTATGCCATAATGAAAAGATTTGCAACTGTAGGGGGTCTCTAGAATAACTGTCTCTCAGTGACTGTTAGTGTACATATTAAAGTATAAAACTGTCAGAATCACTTTCACTTACAGAAGGCAAAGAAGCACTTTGATATAATCATAATATCATCTTCATCTAGTTCTTATTTTGCTTCTTCCCCTGGAAATAGCCATGTTGGTCCCTGCATATTAGAGAGAAAAGGTGGGTGAGGTAATAGCTTTTATTGGACCTGTGTGAGAAAAGCTTGCAAGCCACTTAGAACTCTTTCTTCAGGTTTGGGAAAGGAACTCCCAACATCACAGTTAATTACATTGTCCCTCTTCTGAGCTGGCTTTTTGTTCTTGGACATACGTTCCCTTTCTCTCCTTGGACATACGTTCCCTTTCTCTCCTGCACTGAGTCTGGTGCATGGTCAGTAATACCTTCTCTTATTCAGTGCATTTGTGAAAACCCCGGCACAGTGTAGGGGGCTGCTTTATCTTCTGCCAGTTTGACCTCTACAGAAACATAGCTGTGAATGAAGGTAGTGCAGATATGCTCCATCCTGCCTCTTACTCTGGGGTGGGTTAGTCTCTTAGGAGCCAGTGAAACACTTTATACAAGGCCAGCTGAGCTCCCTGTGCTGGGTGAGTTTTCTGGTGGCCAGTTAGGGCTTGATTCTACCACTTAGTGTCACTCGGGTGGAGCAAATTTCTGAAACAGGAAGAGGGACTCTGAGCCAGAGTCACACAGCCACTCACTTGATTTCTTTCAGCTGTACTTGGCGCAGTCCCAGTACCTGTTTATGTAGAACAGGGCCACTCAGCTTTGGAAGCCCTTGGGGACACAATTATACCCACAGCACATGCGGAGGGCTGCAACTTAAAGTATAGTTGCATATACATGCAAATATATATGCAAATAGCTTATCACATTGACAGGAATGAATAGAAAGATTAAGGCAAGACTACACAACACACAGGCCCCATTTAAGTCCGTTCTACTAATATTAATAAATTGTAATATTTACCCAATTTCCACCCATATGACAGCATTTTTAATGAGCAATGAAAATCCAGGAATTTAACTACTAAAATACATATCAATATTATATTGACTACTTTTTTGTTTGGGCTCTCACCCCCTGGCCGCAAAGAAAAGGTCCACATGTTGAGTAGCCTGATGTAGAATTTACTTTAGATGCCCACAGTATGGAAAGAATCTGTTGCTGCAATTCCTCTTTTTCTGTTACATAAATATTATAGCACACTGCACATAGTCTTCAAAATGTACTCATCAGTTAATATCTTAATTCTCTCCTAGGCATCCAATTTATCTTCCCTGAATATGTCAATGAGTGATGGCAAAGAACCTGAAAAATTAAATATTCTTCAGAACAATGTCGTTGGGGGAGTTGCTGACTCAAAATCCATAAATCAAGAACAAAGTATGTATAGTCTTATTAGAAATGTAACTGAGATCAGGGGCATGCACTTGGAATAAATGTATGTGAAAACTTTCAGATTATACTGGTCAAAATAAAGTGTTACTAAATGTAATATTTGTTTACAAGTGAATATCTAAATAGTATTAGTGTAACTATTTTTCCTTTACTCTTTTGTTGTTGTTGTTGTTCTTTGATTCACTTTTCTATTTGCATTCAGCTAAGTAAAATGGATGTCCTCTTCTAGTTGTATCTGATACCAAGACTGCACAAAGCCAATGACTTCAAATTTGAAAAGGCTTAACTTTCCCTGCATTTTACTTGTGGGATAGAATAGTTAGACGGCATTAATGCCATATTACATAATAGCAAAACTTGGCTGTACTTTAAAAGGATTCTGTACTGATGTTCCCTGGAATGTCTCCAGGTGGCTGCTTCTTTACTTCCCCTCCCCTTAAGCCAGATAACAGATTTGTCAAAACAGATGCCAAAAAAATTCCCTACTGTAAAAACAAATTTGAGAAAATACTGCTTCAATCTTGCATAACTATTGCAATAGCAGGGACTACAGGATGCAGTGGTACATTTATTCCTTTCTAAAATTCTGCAATGCAGCCATGAGTAAGGGATTCTGCTATAAAGGGTGATCTGAAGGCTGCCAATTTCCTTGAGCAATATATTAAAAGTAACGCATACACCCAGGCCTGCTGATAGGAGTAAAGGGGCAATTGACCCAGAACCTGGAGATTTGAGGGGGTTGGAACTCTTAGCTGCTGCCACAGTGGTAGCCTGGAGCCCGGGGCCCCTCTGAAGTGCCACGGGAGTGTCTCTGAGGGCTGGGGGAAGGTACACTGTGGTCTGGGCAGAGGTAAGGGCTGACTGCCATAGGCCCTGTTCCTTCCACCTGAGGCCCAGCCCCTTTAGAGGGGCACAGAGGTGCCCCACACCCATCTCACCAGGGGCTGGTGGTGGCTGTTGGCCCCAATACATAGACCACTGAACAATTAGTATGGTAGAATTAATGGAGGGTCCTGCTAAAGAGGTCTGGAAATAACCTGTCACTAGAACATAATTACATTTCAGGCTTTCCAATAGTTAAGCTAGGTATCCGTTCTCTCTGCAGCATGTGGTTTAACATCTCTTGAACTGAGTCCCCACTACAGTCCCTGCTTCACCCTCCCTAGAGCACCAATCCACCTCCCTTGCAGCTAACTACTTCAAGATCAAAGCCTTGACCTAGACCTGTTTGTGTGGGAACAAGAGTTGAGCTAGGGGTAACCCTTGAGTTGAAACCCCATGCTAACAATGCAGTGATCACACTCTCTCAGGATCTTCTCTTCCTATTTTGTCTGGCTTACATTGGTTTGAACACAGATAAAACAAATCTCAAAACGGCATGGAAACTGAAAAGCATACTTACTTCCAAACTCTTTTCATTAACAACCTTCACTGTTAATTGTTCAGTGTTGGAAATTTAGGGTTAACTATTAAACTTAGCAAAACGATTCTTTCAACCAGAAGTCTTAACTCAACCCTTCAGTACTGCAACATTTATTTAGTACCAGTAACATAGTAGGTTCTTTCTAGTGTACATAAAGCATTTGCAACACCTGGTATCTGTTTGATATGAATTACAATTCGGAACAATCTTGACTTCTTGTTCTTTAATTATTGCATACTGTTTTGCCTGTAAACTTCAAGGTAAGCACCTTGCTTTAAATGCATTTCAAAGTGACAGGTACACCTATAGCAATCTCTAAATATTATTGGGAAAACATTGGTTGGTCTTTCTTTCCTTCCATTCCTGTTCCCATCTTTTCTTTGTCTGAATGGTTTGTTCTTCCTTTTTCCTGCCTATCTCCCTACTTTTTCTCTCTTCTCCTTAGTTCTGTCCTCTTCAATCCTTCACTTGGTAAATGGGAGGGGGTGGTGGGATGGTTCCTCTCATCTCTAGTGTTGATATCACCAGAGTTGGGATGCTCCATGCCTGGCCCTAACAAGGGAGCAATAAAGCTGGAATTCTTGTACATAACATGGTTGCTGCAGGAAGAATCTTAAGACTAAAGGTAAGAGAAGGTTTTTGCTCTAGGGCGTATTATGAGTTACTTGGCCTCTGAGCCATGGTGCATGCATTAGTTTGCACTCTGCTTATGTCTCTTCAGGTTTGTGTTTATTTAAAAAAAAAAAAGTTGCTTGCAGGAGTGACTGGCATGGGAGCTGTTTTCCCAGTCACCTGCTTACTAAGACGATGAAACTTCATTTTTTTTTATTACTAAAACTTGGGGGGAAAATGGTTTTTCTTGAATAACAGAAGGAACTTAGACAAGCTTTTGTGTGTGACTTAATCCTCAGATGAAAGAGGCTATATAAGTTCTAAGAACTACTATGGGCTTCTTTACTGAGCTCCTTAGACCTAAAACTTGCTTTAAAAAATTGCATTCTTGACTAAACCACTCATCAAGATCTTGCAGAAAAGCAAATTGAATTAGGAATTCTTGTATGGTCAATGATTTCTTAGAAATACTTAACCACTTTTCTGTGCTCCAAGATTGTACTCACACCGCGCTGGTTGCTGCCTTGTTGGCTATTCTATAGGCCTAGTGGAACTGCCTCATAATGTACATGAGCACTCCACACTACTGAGTACAAAGTACTGGGCTCCTGAATGCACTTGTGGCCTGGGACTCATGAGACTTGTTGGTAATGAGATTCAGCCCCTCTGCTCTCCTGACCATGGCAGGAAATGCCTAGTGGGAGCCAGCAGCTCAATCTGTAGTCCCTGACAGCAAGCAGTTTGCTTTGTTACAAAGCCTGAGTTTCACCATCATACGTTCGTGCTCTGAAAGTGGAACAGAAGATGGCTTCTTGGTGCCTAGTCACTGCCACAAACCCCTCCTGTCTGCTTTGTGAAAATCCTCACTGCCCATCATAAGTCTTGCCAAAGCTTTCAGGATTGTCAATTACTTTGTGCCAAGACAAATGCCTAAAAGTAAACACTCTTGTGCATGGCATGCTGCTTTAGGCTTCAGGCATCCTATCCCCTTGACCATTTTAGCCACTTTTATGGGACAGGAGTCAGCAACATGTCCAACCATGGACTCTCATGCCTGTGGTTATAAAAAAAAAATTGAGGTCCATAGTAATTTTGTCTCACAACTGAATGACCTAACTCCCTCTCCTCCCCCTTAATATCCATCACTATATATGGTCAGCTTGTGAAGTATCCATTATGCAATGGTACTGACCCCTGGTGTGGGGGCAAGGTGAAGAACAGGGTGAGGGACACAGTGGGATTGAGAGGAACTGTAGGAACACCTAAATGCCAAATAAATCTCCATGCAGCAGAAGCGTGGAGGTTGAGAAGTAGAAAAAGGTCACTTAGAAGCTGTCCAAACAAGTCTGAGTTGAAATGGGTACAAAAATTTACAAGGGTCATCAGTGAGACATACCAGGGCTCAGACCCCTAATCATGTGGCTGCCTTTACTTGTTATACTATTTTATGTGACTAGTCAAAACTCTTGCTCACTTTAAACAATTACATGCTCCTTTTTGTGACCTGTTTGTAAAGATTACTTGTGATGCCTGCCTCCTATAAGTTGCTTTTGGAAAATCTCACCTGCAGATTAGTTTAACATTTCAGAGGCGCTTCAGTGTCTTAATGTGTTCTCTATGTTTGTGAGCTGGGGATACTTATGTAACTGCTTGCATAATATTTTATTCTGTAGCTATCAAATCTGTTAACCATTGAGAAAAATAATGTTGAACCCTAGTTTAGTAACCCGGAGTAGATGATGGTGAAGTTTTGTCACAAAGGTACAAGAGTACTATACCTGTCCCGTGCTAGATCAAAGTCTAAAGCAGTATTTTGGGGGGAGGAGGAGAAAGCTTTAGCTTCCATCCCCAAAGCACTCTACAATCTAGATATACAAATATTTTCTGAGCACTAAAAGGCAGTGATATCTGGGATAAAAGCAGCATAACACTACATAATGCTTTTGTTACTATGTGGTAATTCTGCCTATTGTTTCAGTATGTTTTGCCTGAAATAATGGAAGATTTATAGTTATTTGCAATGCCAGATACTTGTAAAGATTTCTATTACTCTAAGTCAGGGATGGGCAATAAAAACACTGCAGCTTGCAGGGTTATCCCTGACAGCCTGCTGCTGCTACATTTACCTGCACCTTTGCAGGTATCAGAGAATCGCAGCTCTGGTTGGCCACGAATGGCGATTCATGGCTAATGAGAATTGTAATAATTTGGTACCTGCAGAGGCACAGGCAAATGCTGAAGTGGGGGGCCTACTAGGGACTAATCCTGTTGACCGGAGCTGGCCCATGGGCTGGAATTTGCCCACTCCTACTCTAAGTGCACAATTAAAGTTTTTGGCAGAAACATAGATGAAATTGAGGTTGTGGTTTTTTTGTGTTTTTTTTTTTTTTTCTCTTGCAGTGTGTGTGGGTGTACATACATAAAATATTCATTCCTCTTAACTATATAAAATGTTGAAATGAATGCTATTGAAATGGAATTTCTAGTTTGCCTTTCAGATGAATTTTATCATCAGTGTTACAAATAAGATGATCACATATATTATTTCTTAAATATCCTGTACCCTGGAGCTACTGGAAGTGGCAATGGGTTTATGCGGCCAGAAGACCTTACTGACTGACCTACTTGTTTAAAAAGGTGGAAACTGGCAGGAGAAATGCACTTATGCAGTATGTGAGGTTACTAAGTAACTGACTCCTCCCTCTCTCTAGAGGAGGCTGAGAACAGCACAGGAGGGATGTGGCTCAGTCAATCTTCTTTAAGAGGGGGAGGGGAAAGGAGATGAGTAATGCAGGGGTGGGTTTTTCCATGCCAGTAACTAGAAATAGAAAGTACTGCAGGGCTTTCTAAGAGGTTTTCTTGTCTTGCCTACATTAACTTTCTACAGGGAAAGTAGGGGCTCTAGAGAGCCTTCACAAAATAAAGAATGGTGGAACAAAACCTACAAACCTTATTCAAACTATTTAACTCGGAAGTGAGAGCATTTTAGGTGTATTTTTCTTAGTGGGGACTGCTGAATTCAGGAGCTCCTCTGCCACAATGATAAAAGCAGAGATCAGCTTGTAAAGGATTTTTTTCAGTGGGTTTGCATTTGAGAAATTGAAGCTTCTTTCAGATGGTCAACACTTTACTCATAAAGTTCATTCTACTCCAACAGGTTATTCTGACAGCACCGATGGTAAAAACACACTAGATCTTAAACTTCAAATTCTTCCTGAAAAGGTAGGAATTCTGTCTTTCTGGGTGTTCCTCTTAACACTTCAGAAAATAATTTTGCATATCTTATTTGAAGATATTTACAGCTCATTATAAAGCAGGAACACCTGATCTCAGGAACTTCTCTTGCTTATGCATTCATTGTGTCTCAGACCTTGGGAGCTATTGAAATCCATCTCCTAAAGATTCATGCATATGTTTTTCTATTCAGAGTCCTGTGACTTCTTTTCTGTTGGTTTGTGCTGTTCTATGTCCTCTTGTACTGTGACCAGATGCTTAATACTATTAATGTTCACAACAAAGTGGAAAGATCTCAAGCTGGGATAGGGAAAGGACATACTAAGGTAAGATAGATCTATTCAAGTAAGCAGGGCCTCATGAAATTCACCCCAGAGTATTTCCTTATCTTGGAGAGCTCATGAAGGACAGAAGAGGCCCCAGAGAACTGGAGAAGGACAAACATCTCACTTCAACAAAAATGTAGAAAAGGAGGCCCTGGGCAATTAGACAAGTCATCCTAATTGCCATATCCAGAAAGATACTGCAACATTGCTTAAATTACTTATTCAAACCTAGAGTGTAACTGAGTGATGAATAACTGCTAGAGATTTGTCAAGAACAAATCATGTCAACCCCATCTAATTCCTTTCTTTGACAGTGTAACTGCCCTAGTGGCTTAAAGGGGAAGCAGCAGCTGATATGCATCTGGACTCTAGTAAAGCTGTTGACACAATCCCACGTGATAGTCTCATAAGTAATATATAGTAATGCCATTTAACTATATTTCTTTAAAGCAGGTTCATGGCTAAATTGAGAGTAATTGTCAAAATTGGTATATGTACAAGAAGTGGTCTGTCCAGAGTCAGATAAGAATGTTACAATGTCCATACTGGATCTGACCAAAGATCCCTCTAGCCCAATATCCTGACTTCTGACTCTGGCCAATGCCAGGCGCAGTAGAGAGAATGAACAGACTAAGCAATCAAGTGATCCATTCCCAGCTTCTGACAAACAGGGACTAGGGACCGCATCCCTGCTCATCCTGGCTAATAGTCATTGATGGACCTATCCTCCATGAATTTAACAGTGTTCAAAAAAGAACTTAAGTCTTGGCATTAACACCTTGCAGCAGTCTCAACAATTACTGTATTATGTGGGGGGGAAAAATACAGTAAACTTCCTATAATCTGGCACCTTTAGGACCCAGGGTGTACCAGATTATCAAATATGCCAGACTATCGGAAGGGGGGGCTATGAGGGGTCTGGGGTGGAGTGGGGGGATGCGCCCCTTGGCGTTCCGGGACCAACTTGGCAGCACCCCAGTTGCTGTGCCCCAGGCGTCCCCAAGTCAGCTGCTGGTCAGTTTCAGCAGTGGCTGAATCTGGGAAGCCGGGGGCAGAGCAGCTCCAATTGTCCGGCTGCCCAGAGCACTTCCGGGTTCCAGATGGTGCCAGATCATCAGGAGTGCCAGATCATTGGATGCTGGACCACTGGAGTTTTACTGTACTTCCTTTTTGGTCTAACCTGCTGTCTATTAATTTCATTTAGTGACCCTTAGCTCTTGTTTTATAAGACATTACTTATCTTGCTTTTCTACTTTCCCCACACCAGTTATGATTTTATACACCTCTATCATATACCCCAGTAGCTGCCTCTTTTCCAAGCTGAAAAGTTTGTTTTATTACTCTCCTCATATGGCAGCTGTTCCATACCCCAAACCCTTTTTGTTGCTCTTATGAATCTTTTCCAGTTCTATAGATCTTCACACAGTATTCAAGATGTGGATGTGCTCTGGATTTATACAGAGGCAATGTAGAATCAAAGATTGGATTGGAAGAAATCTCAGGAGGTCATTTAGAGCAGTCTCCTGCTTGAAGGATCAACCCTAACCAAATCATACTGATGTTTTGTGTTCTATCCCTTTCTTAATTTCCAACAATATTTGCTTTTTTTTCTTTACTGCCCTGCACGTTGAGTGGATGCTTATAGATAACTAGAAGCTTCGGGGGTAGCTGAGTTAGTCTGTATAGGATAAACTTAAAACAACAAAACCTGGTCTGGTAGCGCTTTATAGATTAACAAAACATCTAGATGCTATCACGAGCTTTTGTGGGCACAGCCCACTTCTTCAGATGACTAGAGTTTTGAGTTGAGGTTGTGCAGACCCAAAATAAATAGGGGAGAAGAGGGTGGGGGGGGAGGAAAGGAAGGGGGTGTGGGGAAACAAGGAGCAGAGGTTATGAAAAAATCAAAGGGAACATAACCTCTGCTCCTCATTTCCCTCCCGCTTCTCCCCTAGTTAGGTTGTACAGACCCAAAATAAACTCAAAACTCCAGTCAACTGAAGAAGTGGACTGTGCCCACGAAAGCTCATGATCACATGTTTTGTTAGTCTATAAAGTGCTACCAGACCAGTTTTTGTTTAAGTTTATAGATAACTAGTCACACACATTCCTGGATATTTATTGAAAGATAACATCTCATTTCAACCCCATTAGTTGATATGTATAGTATGATTGTTTTCTAATGTGCTTTATTGTGCATTTATCAACCTGAATTTTATTTGCCATTTTGGTGCCCCATCACTCCATTGTGTGAGATCCGTATATTGCTCTTTGCAATCTGCTTGAGACTTAACTATTGAGTAGTTCTGTATCTGCAAAATTTGCCATCTCAGTTTATCCAATTTATGAATGTGTTGAATAGGACTGGTCCCAGTACAGACCCCTGAGGAACACCATTATTTACCTCTCTCCAACCCGAACTGACCATTATTCCTACCATTTGTTTCTTAACTTCTAACCTGTTACCAATACCACAAGAGTTACTATGTTTAAGAGCCTCTGGTGAGGGACCTTATCAAAAGCATTCAGAAAACATCTAAAAGCACTACACCTACTGGATCCCCCTTGTCCATTAAGCTGGGCATGTTGCAAGGACTTTTGTGGAGAGGATTAGAATTCTAAATAACTTTGACCAATAACTAGTCTAAAATCGATAGTATTATATTCAGCAAAGAATAGTACAGATGCCCAACTATATAATGGGGAATAAGTGGCTAGGCAGCAGTATTGGTTATAGTGGATCACGCACAGATTGCAAGTCGTCAATGTAATGCTATTGCAAAAAAGCAAATGTAATTTTAGGGGATATTTTAAAAGACTCTGATAAGGAGGTAATTGCTACATTCCCTCTAGCACTGGTTAGGCTTCAGCTGGAATATTCCAGCCTATTTTGGGTACCACACTCCAGGAAAGATGTGGACAAATTCGGGGGATGAGGGGAGACAGCAGAAAATAGTAACAAATGGATCCATTCTGATTCAATTAGCATTTATGTCAAATATCCACTTCTGTCTTTTATTATTATTATTTTTCTTTTTTCCTCTTCAGCACCTGAGGTGGTGAGTGGTAGCTCAGAAAAACTTATGTACTAATAAATTTGTTAATCTTTTAAAGTGCATTGACTAAATTCCCTCTGAGAGAACAAGGATATCTCTCACATCCACAAGCACCTACCCACTTCTCCTTTTTACTATTTTTAGAAAATTGCAGGGCTGATTGGAGATATAAAGGAGGAAAAAATTGCCAATATGCTGGGAGGGGGCGGGGTTTGAATGCATCTTTCTGTGTCTAGAAAATCTGATGCATACATCCTAAAATTGAGGATCTAGGTCCGATATTTAACAGATATATTGGTGATCCATTTTTTTTATAATGTGGTATTACTTGATAAAGGAACACTTAGAATATCTGCAACAATTTTGAAGGGTTTTCATTAAAATATTCCTATTGGGAAAACCACACTGAAAAAATTATGGGCTTGTATCTGAGTGAAAGTATGTCCCGCGAAAACAAAGTGTTTTCTGAGTATAAGGACTAAGTGACTTATTTACAAAAAATGCAATTTAATACCACAAATTATTTTTTGAATTACGATCATTTCTTAAATTTCAGGATCGCCAAGTCAAGAATGCAGACTCCTGGATAACTTTGTGTAAAAAGATGGCAGTTCCAGTTCCCATAAAGGCATCTCTGGAGAACTTCCAACAGTTCAGGAAAGCAGCACTAGAAAAGGAAAAAAATGAGCGAGCACAAGAATTAAGGCGACAACTGGAACAAGCACAGAAGAAGGGGAAAAATCCCTGTCAAGAAAAAGAAAGGTTTGATATTCCTTTTAATTGAGAGGGAGAAATGAAGTAGTTTTGTATGTCCACTTTATTTATATCAAGTGTTGTCTTTGTCTTTTTGGATGTTTGTGTAGAATTAAGTTAATTTCTATTTTAAAAAATACTTAAACCAGTAAGGAATCAGTTTATTGATTAAAACATCACATGACTGCTTTGAAATATGCAATGTTGGCTTGTCCATGAAAGTGTGAGGCACCAAAGTCATTAGATAAGAAGATGAAACAGTTATTTAAGTATATGCAATGAGCAAATGCATAAGAGAATCAGTTAAAACAATTTAGTACTTGTCTATATTGCGGGACCTATATGGAATAGTGGATGTATTTTATTTTGGAATAAGAGCATCCATGCATGGGGTTAATCAAGAATAGCTAATCTGCTTTAAATCTGGGACAACTGTATTTTTGTACTTACACTGCTGTAACAGAAAACAACCTGTAGGCAGAGCTGTAACGAATTTCTATTACATTATAATTTTATAAAGGTTAAATACAAATTTTTGATTGCCTTTTTGTAAAATCCTGAACAGAAGTGAGAAACCCACACACGCATCTCTCTGTCTGTGTCTCATTCCCTCAACATTTGTTGTTATTTTAAACGTACTACTGCAGGACTGCAGTGCAAACAAAACACTCTACATTGCAATGAGAACTCTATCTGTAGAATACAGAATGGGACTTGGTTTGCAGTCTATCAATGTCTCAAATGGCCAGAGGAATAAGCCAGTGTTTGAATTTGGTATTCAGGAAGCAGTTCATGCACATATGTCGCCTTCATTTTTAAAAGACACATTTTTATTGTTGCCCCTTTGGCTTAAGCAGCTAGCCAAAATTCAGAGCAGGATTGATTATTAAAAAAAAAAATCAGAAAATGGTGAAATGATCTATGTGTATTTTTGTATAATCTTGTTTATCCACCAAAATGTATATGGTAGAAATAAGCATACCTCTTCATGCTTGCCCTGTGCCCAAGTTCTCTCATTACTTCCTCTCAGCTTCACACTCACACTATCTTCTGCTGCCTTGCTCCCTTTTGTGATCACAGCCTATTGCCAATAGCCGAACCTCCTGCATCTGTTAGCAGGTACACTTCAGTCTGTATAGTCTACTCCCTTGCACAGTATCCCCATTGACTGCAACTGTTGTTACTAAATAAAGGGGTTTCACTTTTTTTCTTCCTCAATCCTAAAAGTGTTTGGCATGCCCATTGGCTTTAATGAGAACTGTAAGGCTCTGTCTACACTCACGGCTTCTTGCACAAGAACATCTTGTGCAAGAACTCTTGTGCAAGAAAACATCCACACTGCCATGTGCGCGATGTTCTTTTGCGCAAGAGTGCCCATGGCAGTGTGGACGCTTTCTTGTGCAAGAAATCCCTGCTGATCATCCACACTACCCTCTTGTGCAAGAGGGCTTATACCACGCTCTTTTTTGACAGCTCTTGCGCAAGGAGCCTTCTCTTACCACGCTGTACTGTAAATTTACTTGCGCAAGAGCGGGCGGGCAGTGTGGACGCTCTGCAGATTCTTGCGCAAGAACGACTGTACTTGCACAAGAAGCTGCAAGTGTAGACATAGCCTAATTGTTTTTGAATTAGCCCTTTCCCCTCAATGGCAACTACAAGCACCTCACAGCATGAAACTGTATTAAATATGTGCTAATGCAAGGCTACTCAACTTTGGAAGCCCTGGGGGCCACCATGATACTCACGGCACATGTTGAGGGCCCTAACTTAAATGTGGTTGAGGGCCCTAACTTAAATGTGGTTGAGGGCCCTAACTTAAATGTGGTTGAGGGCCCTAACTTAAATGTGGTTGAGGGCCCTAACTTAAATGTGGTTGAGGGCCCTAACTTAAATGTGGTTGAGGGCCCTAACTTAAATGTGGTTGCATATATATGCAAATAGCTTCTTTCACACTGGTGGGCATGACTAGAAAGATTAAGGCAAGACTACACAACACACAGGCCCCATTTAAGTCAGTTCTGCTGATATTAATAAAATGCAATATTTACCTGATTTCCACCCATAAGACAGCACTTTTAATGAGCAATGACAGTCCAGGAATTTAATTACTAAAACGCATATCAACAGAAGACCATTATATTGACTTTTTTTTCTCCCACCCACATGTTGATTCCCACGTAAACCCAAACTGTACCACAGGCCACATGTTGAGTAGCCTTGTGCTAATGCAATGCAACTATCTACTTGTGAGGCTGTCATTAAATAAATAATCCAACAATCAAGTGAAAAATCAATACTACTATTCTTACTTTGCCTGTTTGGCTTTCCAGAAAACTTTCTCTTTTAAAAACTTCTAGTGTCTGATTTCATTTTTTTTAAGAAGTGTTACTGCTTTGATTTTCTTCTGAGCTAGTGGTGAAGTCCTCTGAATAATGTCTTTTTCTTTCTGCTTGTAGCATTTTAAATTTATTGGAAAGGGGATGGTATTTGTGGGATAATTATTTAACCTGTTAAAGTAGAATGCAACATTCAAAGCAGTCTCCATCGCTGCCAGGTTTGTCCCTCTTCCCCCCAGCCCCCCCACATTCCCTAGTCAGTGAGGAATGCAGCAAAGTATGTACTTCATCTTTGTCAGGGAATAAGGGGAAACCGGTAGCAGTGTCCCTGTACAAACTGGGGTGGGGAAGATTCAACCTCCCACCTTTCCTAAAAGTGCCTGGGAGGGGAAGGAAGGTTCAGGGCTAGGGCAGAACTGGATGAAATGGGGGTATGCCCCAGCCAGCCTCTTCCACCTGCCTAGTGAGTCTGACTCTGCTTCTCATAAAATCATACAGAAAATTCTCATTCTGGGCATATCCTGTTTTCCTGGCACAACCAACCCTTAGCAGTGCTTTATCTTATAAGAGGAAGCTATATACCAAATTTGGGGGTCCTAGCTCTTACTATTTAGGAGGCGTTCTTGAACACAAACTCTCAAATATATAGTAGAAAACTTGCCTCCACATGATTGTTGCAGTTGATTTTTTTGTAGAGGCAACACAGTCAATGTAACTTGCTCCTAAAATGTCTAGGAGTAAGTTCTGCATCTCCATTGAATCTGTGCCAGTGCTTTGCATCCCTCTTAACATGCAATCAGTGCGTTGTCAACTCTAGACAGCTGACAGCACTGTTGGCAATCCTCCCTAATTTATGGGCCGACAACTTCTCTCCCCTATCTGCCCCTCAAAATGCCTCTCTCCAGTTCTGCAAATCCTCAGATAACAAGCCACTGACTGGATAAAACTGTCTACCCCTTGCCATATCACTCCCTTCCAATAGTAGAAGAGAGGAATTAGTGGGATAAGTTGTTGGCGTGCCCTATTTTAGGTGGCAGAGAATCATTTGATAGTTTTTTCTATCGGATGAGCAAGTCAGAGGAAAAGTGCAGAAGCCGTGTCTCCTAGACTGGCTCATCTCCTTTACCTTACTTACAGGTAAGCTATTTTATATCCTTGGTTTACTAAACTTAACTTTTTAGAAGAAATATAAAGTCACTTGTATAGGATTCTGGTGGGGAATGTTAAAGGCTTATCCTGCTGCTACCCATTTAAGAAAAAAAAAGGCCAAAAAATGCTTATATAAAGCTTCCCCCAGTATAATTGACTGTAGGTGTATAATACATATTTTGTGTGTGCTTTTGTCCAGTTGATATGTGTAAAAGCTACAGGGATAATGCTGAAGAAAAGAATCAGACATTTAATTTTAATTTTAAGGACCTATGAAGGAGTAGAACCGCAATCTACTGGGATGGAAATCCATGAAGATCCACAAAAAGAAAGGCCAACTAATGAACAGCAACAACCACTAGAAGTTCAACAAAATACGCAGAAAGGTCTTGTCAAAGACCGTAACCTAGCTAGAAAAATGGAGCAAGAGCGCAGGAGGAAAGAAGCTGTAAGTTGTGGAACCTTTTTCAACTATTAACTTTGCTTTACTTTCAGTTGGCACAAATTTGCTGCAGGATCATAACACATAAGAAGGAGAAGACAGAGGGAACATAGCCGTTTTCAGATATCTAAAAGGGTGTCACAAGGAAGAGGAAGACAAATTTTTCTCCTTGGCCTCTGATAGGACAAGAAGCAATGGGCTTAAACTGCAGCAAGGAAGGTTTAGGTTGGACATTAGGAAAAACTCCCTAACTATAAGGGTGGTTAAACACTGGTATAAGTTGCTCAGGGAGGTTGTGGAATCTCCATCTCTGGAGATATTTAAGATCAGGTTAGATAGACATCTATTTAGGATGGTCCAGAGAGTACTGGGTCCTGCCATGAGGGCAGGGGACTGAACTCGATGACCTCTTGAGGTCCCTTTCAGTTCTAGTGTTCTATGATTCTATGAAATTGACTAGATCCTCAAATGGCAAAAATCAGTATGGATTAATTTGAAGACAGTGGGGTTACACTGACTTAAAATAGTTGAGGATCTGGTTCAGTAAATAAAATCTGGGATTTAAGATTCTGGGCTACATCTCAGGGAGGGTATGACACAGGAAAAGTTAATGGGGAAAGAGGTCAGAGGATCAAAGGTGGCTTATGGTACTTTAGTTGCTTTCCAATTTTGGATTTGTCCAGAGACTCGTGGTAAACACGGGGGCTGCCTATAGGTTACTCTGTTGCCCACAGCAGCAAGAAATACCCATAGTATTTTGTGCCATGGGGATTCTCTTCCTCCCCACTCCAGCTTTCCTGCCTATCCCCAGGATTATGCCTATCCCTCCCCTAGCTGGTTATGGTGCTTTTATGGTATCATACAGGGCTCACAGCAAGTGGGTGAATTTTCTACTTACTGTTCTTTTGCATCCTAAAGTAAACCTGACTATAGTTGATCCAAGAACTGAAATTGCTTTTACCTCTAGGGTACACTTAATTTACTCTTAGCTTTCACTTATCATGGAACAATAAACGTGATTGATTTAGGATATTTGTCAGTGCTGTTAATCGCATTCATAACTTGGCCTCTGCTGACTATTACTTCTTGAAATGCTTCAGAGGGGAAGCTGAGTTAGTCTGTAAGTGGAAAAACTTACAAAACAATGAATAGTCTAGCAGCACCTTAAAGACTAACACAACATATAGATCAGGGCTTCTCAACACATGGCCAGCAGTGCAGTTTGTGTTTACATGGGGCTCAACATGTGGCCTGCAGTGGGATCCATTGAACATGGCCTGCAGTGTGAACATGCTCCACAACAGTGAGGCATCTCCCAGGCAGGGTGAGCACTGAAAGACACAAGCAGACAGGCTGGCTGGAACAGACAGGTACAGGGTGTTGGTGTTTCTAGCCCCCAGGGAGTAGGTGACAGGCGCGCTGGGGCATTGTGGGAAGTGATGGCTGCTTAGCCTTGTGGGTAGAGCCTGAGAGATGCTGACTGGCTTACACTGGTCATATTTGCATCTGGCACTGCAGCTTAAAGCTTAGTCTTTTTATTCATGCCCCTCAGTGTGAAAGAAGCTATTTGCATATATAGTTGCATGTATATGAAACCGCACTTAAGTTGCAACCCTTGGCACGTGCTGTGAGTATCATGATACCATCTACATGTCTAGCACCACCTTAAAGACTAACAAAACTATTCATTGTTTTTTAGAAGTTTTTCCTCTTACCTCTTGAGATGGTCACTCAGAATACATTGTCACCCAGGAAGCCATAAAAGCTTATGCAGCTGCTGCCCATGCAAAGTTCCTGTTCCAAAGAATGTGCTTCATAAACACTTATCAGCTCTAAAAATAGAAACACTCTATCTGGCACGCTTGAGTTAGCACTACATTAATTTACAATTTAAGTAACCTATTTGCAAAGTTTTTCAAAATTGGAGCCTAGATCTTCGTTACATGATAGAAGTTCTGTCAGGATATATTACTTTTCAGTCACTAACTCTGTGATTTTAAAAAAAAAAAATCCGTTTAGAAAAAATGTAGCTTGGTTATACCACAGCTGACATTCCTATCTGCGAAATGCTTTTCTCTAAATTTGTCATTGCGTCAATATTTCAATGAAGTTTTGGATAAGGTGATGTCACTTAATCTTTTTCTTAAAGGCAAATGTCATTAGTCTCGTTTTGAGAGCCTTTTCCAAAGACAACTGAAGTTGATGGAAAGATGACTCCTATTGACTACAATGGTCTTTGGATCAGTCCCTTGGTATCTGTCAAAATTCAAGGGTTTCCAGATTAGTAGTTGTACCTATTCCAGACTAGTTCCCAGGGTAAATGCTCTAATTCTGGAATAAGTGTGTCCTTCTCTAATTTAGGTTAATCCAAAGAAAATTAGTGTGTCCACAGGGAAAACTACTCTGGAATAGGGTGTGAATATAATCTGAAATTTACAAATGTTGACAGTCATCAGACTCTTAAAGGAGATCACATGAACCTACATGCACAAAGCAGACAATGACATCAATGACTGGGGGAGGGGAGATAACTTCCCCATAGCTGAAGATGTGTGTACATATACCATACAGTGCCCATCAGACCAGACTATTGAGGCAGCAGAATTAAGGTTACAAGACTTCTGCTCAGATATTTAAAGATTAGAATTCTTGTAAGTTGTCGCTTTATGCTACCTTAATATGTATGTTTTGATCTGTAATACCAAACATAGTCTGCTTTTTAAAAAAGAGAGATTCCCTCAAATCTTATATTAAAGTAAGTAAATAACCATCTTGTCTTTTTCTCCCATCACCACTGGTTATACATGTCTTTCTAATTTGTAAGTGCTTGCCTTTTTCAACTTATGTCAAACTATCAGATTCTTTAAAAATAATGCAATCTCATGAAGTGATTGTCAAACTATGGGATTTAGGCTGACTTTTTAAAGTTGACCTGCAACGATGAGAAAAGGAAGTGGACAAGTTACTTAAAATCCCTTTTAATGCAATCTGGATAGTGCCTATTGCTACCAATGTGGATGCCACTATTTATAAGCAATAGGTGTGCTGTTTCTTTAATTTAGAAAAGGTGACTTTTCATTATGATATTCCTTTTGTCTGTGATACTCAATTACAAAACCTGTTAAATCATTTCCCTATAGATGATCCATACCATTGACATGAACCTGCAGAGTGATATAATGGCAACTTTTGAGGAAAACCTTTTGTGAAATTTTGGACACTGGAAAAAGTTACAATCTCATCATAGTCCTTGAGTGACATTGTATTAAATGCAATGTACAGTAAACTGGACACAAGTGCTAAATACATATGTGCTACTCGTGTATCAGCAGTGTATTGTTTAGACCACTTTGAAGAGCCTGTAAACTGTTTAATTTGTATAGCATTGTTAAATATTAAAATTATGCATTGACACAAGATAATGGTATTTTTGTTACTTGCATTCATAATGTCAAATCTACTTGTTAGCTAGTCATAAGCAAAGTCATGTTTGCATATACATATGACTTCTTAAAATACACTGTAGTTCTTGGAATAGCTGTGTATTAATTTAGAACTTTTAAAAAGCAATTATCTTTCAGAACCATTCTAGAACCTTTATCTAAAATATACTGGTCTAAGATTTCTTGTTTTCACTTGCTGTTTCTGGTTAAACACTGCATTTACATGGTGTTTAACTAATACTTTGGAGAAATTATCCAAACAATAATAACCTTTTGAAAGTCTTTTTTGCAAAGTGTTTTATTTTGATTAGTGAAGATATCACTTTTTAAATTAACACATGTGGTATTTAATAAAACTTGACTGTGCAAACACCTTGTAATAGTGACGATATATACTATCTAAATACAAATTAATTTCCAGGGGTAATCACATTTGGAACTTCTTTCATTTTCTGTACTTGACCTATACTTTCATTTGCCAAATTCTCTCCACTTAAAATGTTTAACCAAGTAGAGGCAGGGTAATTTTTTCTTCATATATGTTGATGGTACAGATTGCTTGAAAGAGTAAGTAAACGGGTGTTTTCTTAATTATTCATATGTTGTATGTGAAATTATTTTGAACTAAAACACTTGCCTTTTCTGGGTAGCATTTAAAATTGGTATTCTACCAATCTACTCTATCATAACCTTTAAAATATTCTGGTTCATTTAAGTGTGCCCTACTCAGGATCAGAGTATGATGGTATTATTTTAAGTCATTTCCCCTCCTCCTCCCCCCCATGCACCTTCATTTGTACAATCTAAATCAGTAGTTCCCAAACTTTTTGACCCCTTTTTGATTTTTGAGAACCTCCCCCCCTCCTCCCCCAATAGCAACAAAACTTGTTGAGCAAAAGAGAGAAAAGGAACTGACCAAAAAACAAAAATAGCAGCAAAAATTGAGCCAGGGGGAGGGAACTTTAGTCACCTCATTCCCCCTTGAATTTCTTCATGCTCCCCAGTTTGGGAACCCATGATCAACTGTTTACGAAGTCGCTATTAGAATTTAGAAGGTAGTATCTTTCACCAGCCTCTACCTGCTTCTGCTCTAGCAAACCACACACTCAGGTAGGGAGCTGATACCTATTCTGTCATTATGGACCCACTGTCTCATTGCTCCTATTTACCAGTAGTTATTGTTTCAGGTTTAATATCACATTCAGATGAATGCAGAGCAGCTCCCTTTCTTGAGGCTGCAATTAAATAAGAGTTCTGTTCTCCCAGTACTTTATGGACCATATATTCATTACAGCTAGGTTGGGCATTTTAATATCTTAATGAAATTAAATTAGCAGACCTATAACCATTTACAATCCTCTGCACACTGATGCAGTAACTGCTGCTTCTGTGTTCTAATCCGAGCCATGCTTGCTTGCTGCACGGAGCTGTAACGCAAAGGTGCTGCGGGCTTGGGGGTGGCTAAAGCATATCCAGGAGTGGGAGAGTGAAGTCAATTTCCATCTCTGCCACTGAGTGTCTGCGTGACCTAGCTAAGGTCACTTAATGCCGCAGCTCCGCCGCTGAGGCTCGAAGATAATACTTACCCTGCCTCAGCAGGGGGGTGCAGGTGGGATGCTCAGCCTAGGGGGGAGGGGTGACTCGACTGAGGTAGTTCTTTGCAGCTGCCCTAGCCTAGATGAGCCCCCTGGTCCAGCCTGGGGGCTCGGGGCGGAGCTGTCCTCTGGCGCTGGATGTAT